CTTATCAACGGCTATATAGATCGCAAAACAGCTCGAAATAGCCTTTTTTCCGCGAATACAGGCTGAAAGTCTCCTACGGAACGTTGACGCTTGGCACGGAGGTAGTCTTCGTCCAAATCCTCCCATGCTTTAACGAGGGTTGCACATGGAGCATCCAAACTTCTATGCTGAGTAGAGCAGGCTTTTGTCTTAGGAACTGATCACAAGTAGTAGTCTAATGTATCTAGGTCTGAACTGTTTGGGGGCCATTTGTTCGACGAGGTGAAGTATGGGAAGTGCGTTGCACACCAGTCCTGTACCACCTTGGACCTGTGTGCTGGAGCTGAGTACTGTTGATAAATCCTTGTCCAGTTGCCGAAATGGGATTATGCACAGGGGAGCGCCTACTCCAATACGCCCTCTGAGTAGGTCTCGCTATCCAACGTGACCCCTTTTTCCAAGAAAATCAGGGGCATCTTACCGTCCGATGTGATCGCCTCCAAAACCATCAACGGCTCGGGATCGCTGAGCGATTTCTCCATGTTGGTTGGCTTCTGCAGGGCTTCCCCTATCATCCTATGGTTTTTGGTGTTTAGGAATTGATCTTAGAAAACAGACATTCGGCAGTGAAAAGGATGTTGATGTGCCGTGCCTGCGAAAATCGCTTTAAAAGCTCCTTACATTTTTCGATCCTAGTTTTCTTCATACACTCATTTAGCATGTGAGCTTTTCTGAAGTTATCAGAGCGAAGTCGAAGGTGGCTAGTGCCAATCCTTCTAACAGATTGAGCAGAAATACCCAACTCAAGAGCCATTTTTCTCTCGGATCTACGAGGGTGGCGGCGGATTTTCTTCGGATGACTTCCACGATCTCCTTTGTCGTATTCGGTCTTCCACTTCTAGGCTTATCCTCCATACTTCCTGTCGCCTTGTACCTGTTGACGTTGTTGTACACGCTTCTTTAGGAAAACCAGAGCTGCTTGGATATGGTCTTTGCAGTTCATCCAGCCAGTTGGAGGGTGCAGGAAGGGGCTAGTTGCTCTTTGCTTGCCACCATTCTGTAAAATGGCATATTTAACCCATTGACGACAATGCAGTCCATATGTGGACTGCAGTTGTATTTTTTCTTTATTCATATGCACTTTCCACATTTCTCAAATTTTCTTCTCAAAACATTACATCAGGCCTCCATGAAACTGCCTACAGCGTGTTTCTGAGATTTTTTTTAATTTTGCAATTGTAAAGGTGTTTAATCGAAGAAGTACATTACCTTGGTGAGTTCTTCGTTCGTTGAACAAGTTCAAAAAATGAGATACTTGAGATACTTAAAGGCGGTCGTCATCAGCAGTTCCGCTGTAATCGACCGAATGCAAAGCTTGTAAAAGTTCTCCGAACGACTTTTTGGTATGATTCAACTCGCAATTGGATGACCATTAGACTCAGTGCTGGCTTAATAATAAAGATTAATAATCACTCAATGTGGACATCCTTGCCGAACCCATCTGAAGGAGTATTCCGGAAAACCTATGAATTTCTCTTATGAACTTCTAAAAATGGTCATGCTGGACAATGTAGTCCACATGTGGGCTGCAATCGCGAGTGGACGAAAAACGCGCCGGTCCCTTGCGGCGCCTACCCCGCCAAACGTGATGGTCGTCAATGGGTTAAGAGCGGCCAGTCCATGGAATATATAGATGAAGGCTTGCAGTAAATAGTGGCACAGATCCTGTAGTAGAGGACCTGAAACGGAATTTCGCGGCTCTTTTGCCGCACCATGTAGTTCTCATTGATTCACTGTTCACAGTTTCGCCTGTTATGGTGAAACGAAAGATAGTGAGATCATGCTCATGGATGCAATTTTTTCATCACAATAAAAGCGCTTGTGAGACTTTGAGAAATATCCATTGAAGTCAATTTAAGTTATTTTCGTAGTAAGTACGATATGTGTCAGTTTTCTACTGTTATCTTCCCAATGTCCCTTTACTTTCTGGACCCTCTTACGTCTCCCTCTTGATTAAAAAAAAAAGACTTAACTAACGTTCTTGTTATTTAAATTTGAAGAAGATAACAAAATTCGTATGGGTAAAAAAAAGTCTTGTATTGGAGCAGCTCAGCTGACGTCAGACGAGCTTGCTCTTTTAGTGATGTTCTTTCCCATTTTGCTCACAGTTAAGCAATTGAAAAATAATCTTTATAGCAATTTTTATCCCAAGCACCAAGATCAAGTAGCTAGTTGTGGACGTGAGCCATTACAAAACATATGCTGTGTTTGGTTTTTACATGGTTTTTACAACATGCAGGGCCTACCGACCCGTGAATCTGAACGAGGTAAAACATTCATCACTGAAGCAAAGTGAATAATATGAGGCGTATTCCATGGACGACTTTCGTTGTTGAGATTTGTGGAACCAAAACGTCGTTGGTAATCTTCCGTAGCGTTTAAATGCAAAATCGCAGTTGAAGGTAGTTCGTACAAATGACAAAGCGAGAATTAGGTTTGAAATGTTGCTTTCGTTGTTGCAAGTTCCGGTCGCGAAGGCTCCAAAGTGATCATTGGTGAGCTCTGAAATTAGGCCCAATTAAAAGTGCTTCTTGTATTTTAGGCAGTTTTTGAATATACATAAAAGTTGCTACTTGCCATTCTATGGTTATTGTATAAGTATCAGTGATCAGTGAATTCTTCGTTTACCGGGTGGGATCAACCGGTAAACGAAGAATTTCCTCTTTCTTCAATGTGTGAGTAATCGGGCCACCTCTCACCGCATCTTTGTAGCAACCACTGTACTATTCATAAGCCGAAATTCGACAAATGCTATTCAACTTCGACAGGACACAAAAGGAGGGAGGCATGGCATAAAGAGGGCAGTGCGAGTGTTATTCAGTATGTGTTGTTATCGCCTATGATTAGGAGCCCCGATCAGTTGCGCTTCTTTTTAAAAAATGATCGCTCATCAAAGATTCAACTGTAAGTGAACCAAAGCCTTGAGTAGTTCTCACATATGTTGTCGAGGTATTATAACGCCATCACCATACGTCGTTATCAATGAGCTTTTTTTTTCTCGGACATACCGTTTGTTGAGAATCGTAGATTATTGGCGGTCACAAATGTTTTGTCATGATATCGAAACAAGTAGAAACCTTTTGTTTTTCACTGAGTCGCAAACCTTGCTCGGATAGTGGTCGTAATCTAATCATAAACATAACTACGTCGTTAAAACCGTAGGCGTTAAGATTAGAATGCAAGTGTCCTTATCAGTTCTTACCAAGTGTTATTCTCTGATACCAACCGTTCTCGATCTCTTCACCGCCAGAGTACAAGGTTTCCATTATTGACACTAGCTTTCTTTTACCAGCTCATTATCAGTTCTTATCAATTGTTATCAATTCTGTCCTTGATCCTTTCATATTCCACGTCATCTACTGAAGTTCCGAAGCTCTACTGTTCACACTTACGGTGTTACAGATGTCGTGGCTCTAGCCTCCTATGGCACTTTATTAGAGGTTATCAGTTGTTTCAGTTCCCGTCAGCGAGTATCTACAAAATTCTCGCATCCTACGCCTCCTATCAAAAAGTCAGTGTTGCACTGGTAACAGGAAGGCCGTTACAGACCTAGTGGCTCTCGCCTTATAAAGCTTGTTGTCAGTCCTATCCATTTTTTATCAATCCCTGTCACCAACCATTTGCGGTCGCTTCGCATTCCACACCACCATCAAAGTGCCAAGGCTCCGCCGTTAACTCGAAAGGCATTATAGACCCAGTGGTTCTTGCCTATATGGCTCGATATTAATCCTTAGCAGTGATTATCACCACCTATCGTATATCATCAGCGTCCCTATCCTGCTATTTGTATTCCTTTCAAATTTGAATGCTCTAGGTCCAGCGGGACAGGAGTTGTGAACTTCCAGGCAGACAAATACACACACATAAACACACAAACACTCGAACAGACACAGTTAGCGGATGTATAAGTAGCATGGTTATAGTGGCCCTTCGAGAAAAGGAAATACCAAGTCTCTGTGCATTGGCAGCGGTTTGGGTTTAATTAAGCTCCAAGGGGTACGGGTTGCTCAAGAGTGACTCAAACGTGCGGTTCGTACAAATTGCGTACCCCGTATTGTTCTCAAAAATGCAGCTTTTTCATCAACGGGCCCTTCATCGTTGTTCGAAATGCGTGCTCCGCGGAAACGAGTAGGTGGAAGGTTTGATAAGGTTTAAAAATGTGAAATTTTCATATCGGAGAACGTATTTCTTCAGATGCGTATTTTTTCTGTGCAAAACGAGGAGTCCCTATAATACCCTTCGCCTTATTCATTGTAATACATTTGTTTACCTAGGTCGAAGATCAGTGAGGTCAGGAGACTCGTTAAATAGGTGTAAGCGGCGACGTCTGATAACCAAGAACAACGGACCTTGCGACAGCAACGAATCAGCGTTGGTGGAAGTTCTAGTTCTTATGAATAGCATATGACCACGTTTCTTTCTCTCCAAAGAGCTTCATGAAAACGACTCTTTGAACTTCCTATCTCACGGTGGAAATTTTCTCATTACCAAACCTCCCAGTTCATAGAAGCTGAAAATGCCCAGACTTCCAGGTTACACTGCAAATGATGTCAGCATTAGTCGCACGTGGAGCGGGGAGGGAGATTGTTGCATTATTTGCGGGGTAGGATTTGTTGCAGTAAATGTGAGTTATTCAGTGTGACTGATTCTTGCTCTATTTTGGTAGTAGTCTTATTGTTAGTAGCTTACAAAGTTGGGAAACGAGTAAAAATGACTTTTACTCTTTATGTTATGATACAAAATTACAAGTTCGAGAAGAGAATGTTCAACTGAATAGCCCAAACACGTGGTCATATGTGGTCAATAATATACGGTCAATTGGCTAATTTCGATTTTGTGAGATCTACAAAGGCATGAGACAAGCACAACACCTCGGCCATTTAGAAATTTCAGCAAGTCTGAGCCTGAATTTCTACGTACATCCGTTGTTTGTAGCAGTGCTGATGCTAATAAGCAGTAGGCAAGTTAGATTTGTTTCGGATATCCACTAAAGGAGGTTTCTCTTTCATTACCTCTTCCTCTTCCGTGACTTTTTTCTTCTTTTTAATGCACTTCAGTAAGGGTCCTAGCTCGAAATCGTTGATGTCTTCTGGCAGTTTTCTGTCTTTTGTTTCCGGCATCATGAGTACTAAGGCAGCAGATGAAATCGACATCACTGCTATCAGTAATGTCGGTGCTGACTTATGAAATGCTTCCTGAACATTCATGATATTACTCCAGCGAGCTAACGGCGTACGTGTATGCACAGTGTACTCACAAGTCTCTTCAAATAGGGAGCAAGAACAGATCCCATGTCGCCAAGGAAGCCAACTACACCACAAAAGACGTTACGGACGGCAGTTGGCGTAGACTCGGTGTAGAGTAGCGGTTGCGAACACCATACGATCGAGTTGAAGACTTTCGCCAAGAGCGGGAAAACCATTGAAATTTGTGGACTTACTGGAATCGTTGTTCATT